AAGAAAAATGTCACATGCAAAACCCCGCAGGGCTGTTATTTCTGTGAAAAAGCACCACAGAGGTAAAAAAACAGTGCACTGAATTACTCTTCATGCGTCAAATTTTGCTTGTCGGACTCCTACGCCTCTACTGCTTCAAAGCCTTCATCGAATTCCTCCAGCGTTCCTCTTTCGCCAAGTTTCATTTCCCTGTCTGATGATCAGCACTCATTTCTTACTATAACGTACAGTTTTTGGAAACTATGGACGGGCAGCTGATTGAAAAGAAGGATTGCTCAGCTGCAGTCGCCGCCGCGCTTCCGGAAGCGAAATCTTTGGCCGATGCAGGCAAGCTGGCTGAAGCTGTAGAGCTCCTCCTAGGTGTGGAGAAACAAGCGCGCATGGGTAATGATGTGACCAGCTTGAAAGAAGTGGTCTTAGCCACAATACGACTTTTGCGAGAAAAGAAAGATTGGGAGCAGATGAACGCGACTTTGACCCAAATCAGCAAGCGGCGGTCGCAGAACAAGGCCGCAATCTCAGCCATGGTGCAGGAGGCCATGGGCCCTTCCTACTTGGACGCCACCCCTGACGTGGAGACGAAGAGGAAGCTGATCGTCACGCTCCGCGATATAACGGATGGGAAAATTTTCGTAGAGACTGAGCGCGCGCGCCTTACCCGGACCCTTTCACACCTCTTGGAAGCGGAGGGGAAGGTCGCCGAGGCTTGCGATATCATCCAGGACGTCCATGTGGAGACGTATGGCTCCCTGGACAAACAAGAGAAGCTCGAATTTATTCTTGAGCAGATTCGTCTCACCTTGGCCAAGAAAGACTTCATACGCACGTACATCATCGCCAAGAAGGTGACCAAGAAGCTGTTGGAGGGGGAGGACCCAGCCTTGCAAGCCTTGAAGCTGAAGTTCTATCGACTGATGATTGAGTACCACTCACTGGCCGAGAAGGAAGCATTCGAAATAGCACAGCACTATCACTCCATCTATAATACTCCTGTAGTGCGTGCGGAGGAAAGCGAGTGGCGAGCGGCGCTGAGTGCCTGCGTCCTCTTTCTCATTATCGCCCCGCATTCCAACCAGCAGAGCGATATGCTCCACCGACTCGTCCGGCAGGAGGAGGATCAGCTCGCCCAGCTTCCTGTTTACAAAGAGATCCTCAAGACCTACACGACCCGGGAAATCATCCGCTACCCTCTGCCCCAACTCCCCGACATCGAGTCGCACCCCGCCTTGACACTGTACGGCCATGAGCTTGCGCAACACTGGCTCCAGCAGCTGCGAACTCGGGTGATTCAACACAACATCCGGGTACTCTCTGCGTACTACAAGAAGATTCGGTTGACCCGCGCTGCGGACCTTTTGTCGCTGGATGTTTCAGAGCTAGAGAATAACATCTCCACGTTGGTGAGCGAGGGGGCCTTATACGCGCGCATCGACCGGCCCGCCAACCAAGTCAGTTTTGCCCCGACAAAAATAGCGGAGGAGACCCTTTCAGACTGGGCGGCGGACATTTCGGAATTGCTTCGGTTAGTGGAGCGCACCACGCATTTAATAAATAAGGAGCAGATGTTGCATAAGGTGGTGTAGTGGGAGTCGCAAGGAGGGGGGAAGAGGGAGAAAAGCAGTGGCAGGTCACTACGGAAGGGAGAAAATTGAAATAACGTTTGTGTTCGAGACCAAAATAGAACGGAATGGCTCGCTCATAGTCAGACAACATGTTTCCGTCCTTTTTCGATTTTCTTCTTTTTGAAAGGAGATTAAGCGAGAGCCCGAATTCATTTTTCGTTTCGAAAATCTTATGCAAACTGCCGTGACCATACGCGGCATTGCAGAACTTGGCAACACTCCTCATGTTTGGCGCCACGGCAAGGCCCAACAATTTTCGGTTCACGTGAGGAAAAAATTTCAACAAAAATATGGAGGTGAACCTCTTGGGAGCCACGGCGACACTTCCTCGAGTACACTGGCCACTAGCACTACGAGCGCATTTGCACCCAGTGAGCGGTTCGGGGACGACTCTGTCGGAATTCAAGCATTTAGACAACACCTTGTTTGGTTTTTTCCAGTCGTCTAGTGTGGGCACTTGCCAACTTACGGTTCTTACTTCCTCGGTAAGCTATATGTATACTCCGCCCTGCGCCGTGCCACCTCTACGCCACAACCAAATGCTTAAAAAGAAAATATTGTCTCCTCTGAATGACTGTCCTGTCCCGACCGCCCAGAACGTCTTTCATTGCTCGGTTCATCAGAACCAGTCATAATCATGTTCCATTTGCAAAGCACATGTCATTAATTTTCAGCAGCCACACACGTGATGAGACAATGTATCCTGAGGTACAATCTTGATTAATGTTAATCGGTGGACAAATGGGATCGAAATAAGACTGTTCGGTCGATACCCTCCCTACCTTTTTTATTTAAGCTGTCTAGTCCTCGTGTTATTCCTCCCGGACCCTTCGGCCGTAACTTTCCTCTGTAATGCTTGCTCCCGAGATGCCGTACTATTGCTTTCAATGCAGCGCAATATTTCTGTCAACCTGGCGCATTGTTTGGCTCCCCCACCGGGGCCCGAAGGCCGCTGGGCTTCTCTACGACTGCCCCTCTTTCCCCTTCATCGGTTTGTCCTGCTCATGATCCTTCTTTGCCTGACTCTCCGTCTGGAAAGTACTGCTCTGGAGGTTGGCAGCCTCCCCGAGGACGTCGCTGCTGGCGCTCTCGCCTTTGTCTGATGCCTTGCTGTCGGGCCCTGAGGGTGATGCGGCGCCTCCATCGGGCTTGCGAGCGCGGCCTGATGGAGACGACGGCGGGGGCACACGTCTGCCCGATTTATGGGTGGCGGGGGGCGTGCTGTCCCCAGATGACTGCTGTGTAGAGGGCTCCATGTCAGTAGAAGAAGAGTCGTCGTCAGTGGGCGGGGAT